CTGCGGGCGGGGCCTGGCTGGGGCGCTGCCTCTTCCCGGTGGCGGTGAGCAGTGTGTGTGTGTTCTGTTGTTGCCTCTGTGAGCGTGTACACACTCAGAGTCGGTTTTGCCGGGCGGCGGGGTGTGATGTCTCTGGTATCTTTTGCTCTTCTGAGTTCTTTTGAAAGAGCAATCGGCCAGGAGTGGAAACTCCATGCTGCGCTGTGCACGGGAAGCCTGAACAAAGTGTTGGCTTGGAACTTCACCGAGATTCCGGTACCGGTCCGTAATAATTCGGATTCATTCCCAACCACGCAGGTGGCCTGTGCATTATGGATGCAGATTCACATAAGTATAAAATTAAACTCCTTCTGTGTATCTTTTCCGATTATGGGAGTTGAGAGGTTAGTTTTTAAAACTGGCCTTAAGGAGAATGTTAGAGTTAGAAGGGTCACACCTAACACAAAGGACATGGGTAAGAGGGAGCAAAATGAAGGGACTCTGTCCAGTGCCAGCATGGCGAGCATGGGTCTGGTAAGCTTTGCCCTTCTTTCTCATTCTCTCTGCCTTGCTAAAAGTATTAGTTTAGATTCCGAAAGCTAGCCACCACGGTCTATTCCCTTATTTGGCCAATTCCTCCTCCTGAGGCTGACTACCAAGGTCCAGCTATCAAGTCCAGCAATCAAAAGCCCCCTTTAGCTCACCTAATTAACATGCCCAATTAAAATTAAACACATCCTAAGACTGGTTTTCTCCTTTTTTTTTTTTTTTTAATTTCGAGACAGGGTTTCTCTGTGGCTTTGGAGGCTGTCCTGGAACTAGCTCTTGTAGACCAGGCTGGTCTTGAACTCACAGAGATCCGCCTACCTCTGCCTCCCCAGTGCTGGGATTAAAGACGTGGGCCACCACCACCTGGTGGTTTTTCTCCTTTTATCTTTACCATTTTCCAATGGGCCATGTCTGTCCCTTCTCCATCCAGAGGCAGTCCTTTGTCCCCCTGGGACAAATACTCTGCCCCCTTTCCTTAGTTCCCTTCCCCTTTTCCCTGTCATCTGTCTCCCATCTTTGTCCCTTATCCCTGTCCCCTTTGTGCGGAGTCTTGGTCTTGGGGTCCTGAGCTGATCTGGGTTCTTCTGAAAAGGAGTACAGTCTGATTACACTTAGGGTACATGAAAAAAATGGGGTTAATAGAAATGGACAAACTAAGAGGAGTTCTTGGAGTGTGCAAACTTCAAGCTAGGGAAAGATGAGGAGAGTGTGTCCCAGGCAAGGAAGAAACCTGTCTGTGCTTAGCTTAGCCCATGTGCAGTGAAAGCAACATTAGTGTGGTTGGTAGAAAGGATGACTCAGGGAGGAGCTGGTCCAATGCAAATAATGACATGCTAGTTTGGAGAATAAAGGGCTTGAGGTATCAGCTGATAACTAAATTTGGATGTTCAGGAAGGTTTGAAATGTGTTTAATCAGTACTTTTAAATTGAATGTCTACTTAGTTCTAGACCCTATATTAAGTGGCTTGGAGATGGTCAAAACCCATTTCCCACAGCGAGGCAGCCATCAGTCCCTGAACTCAGATAACAACCTTCACAGCAGTCTGAAGCCTTGGGGTGAGCCCTTGTAGGAAGGACAGGAGAAAGTGCAGGTAGAAGGCCAGGAAGGAGACTGTGGGTGCTTAAGACTCTGAAACTGCAAACCCCCGTGTGATTACATTTGAAGACGGGACCTGTACAAGCCAATAAAGGTGAGGTCATAATCAGTGGGCCAGTTTCCCAAACTCTCCCAACTCAGAGAACTGAAGACCTGGTGGATCATCTTGAACTTCCTCCAGAAGACTGTGATCAGTTTCTGTTGTTGAATACACAGGTCTGTGGTATTTTGTTAAGGTATGGCAGGCTGAGCTGCCAAAGCTAGATGGCTTTCTGGTAAGTGAGGAAGCAAGGGTACTCCAGATAGAAGGAGCTAGCCAGAATGCAGAGTCAGGACTAAAGGGCTGATTACTCTGTGTAGATGCCCATGAATACATAAATGCACACATGCTTACACAAGTGCTTGGGTCTGCAGGGTGAGCTGCAAGTGTGAGGCCCAGGGAAAGTGTCCCCGAGCCAGCAGGCTCAACACCTGGGAAGGTGTTTTAGTCTGAGCCTGGAACACCTCCCCCCATGCCCTACCCCATGCCTCAGGATACAGGCCAGAACCAGGAAAGATGCTCATATTGGCGAGAATAAGTCCTTAAAAAACTTAGAGGCTGGAGAGACGGCTCAGCAGTTAAGAGCATGTACTGCTCTTACAGAGGACCTCAGTTTGGCTCCCAGCACCCACACTGGGCAGCTCATACATGCCCATAACGCCACTTTCAGAGGATCTGATAACTCTAGCCTGCCTTGGTCTTCATGTATGCCCACACCCACTGCCACACACAGAGAGAAACAAAAATAAATCTTTTAAAAATTAAAATAACTGAAAAGAAGGCTTGGTGTTGAGAGTACTGTCTGCACCGGGCAGTGGTGGTGCACGCCTTGAATCCCAGCACTTGGGAGGCAGAGGCAGGTGGATCTCTGTGAGTTTGAGGCCAGCCTGGTCTACAAGAGCTAGTTCCATGTGAGTTTGAGACCAGCCTGGTCTACAAGAGCTAGTTCCAGGCTCCAAAGCCACAGAGAAACCCTGACTCGAACCCCCCCACAAAAAAAGGGTACTGTCTGCTTTCCTAGGGGATCTATGTGTTATTCCTAGAACCCACATGGCAACTAACTGACAGTTCCGAGGGTCTAGTGCCCTCTTCTGGCCACCACAGACACTGCACACATGGGGTGTACATACATACATGTAGGCAAAATGCCCATACACATAAAGTAAAAACAAAACCTTCCCTCAAATGTAAGAAAACCAATTTTAAACTGAGAAAGTGCTACCCAATTAGAGAAAGCTTTATTTAGGCTATCAAAATTTAAACTGCTTCACAGACTGGGTGCCTATGGCCCCAGTCAAGTTATCACACAAAACTAGCCAGTGAAGTCTTTGGGCTTCGTGGGTGCATGCCTGTAATCTGGTGGAGACTAGGAAAACCAAGAGTTCAAGCTTATCCTCAGTTACATACAGATCTGAGGCCAATCTGGAATACATGAGACTTGTTTCAAAAACAAAACATATTGAAAAAGCCACTCGTAACTAGGTTCCTATAAGAATAAACAGGATCAAGCAGGGAAAAGTGACTTCCCAGCTTTCATTTATGTTCTCTTAGATATTTCTTTACTATTAAAAATGTGTCTGGGATCAAGGAGATTGTCTTTCTGTCTGGACACAGGAGTAGTAGCTTTCTCACTACAAAGGTCTGGGAGGATCAGGCAGGTAGAGAATGGAATGTTCTCCCTGGCCTTTGAAGTTCCACAAATGTTTGCAGGTTGATGTAGCCTGCTGGGGAAAGAGGCGAACTTCACTCTTCCTGTGTTAGAATATTCATCAGAGTATACTGGATGTGCTTAGGTCATTATCTGCGCAAAGATTTGCCACTAGGTTGTTGATAGTGGTTAAAGTTCAGCGTGGGCTTTGGGGCCGTATTACCTGGGTTTCAATACGCTGTCGAGTTGTATCGAGTACAGCAAGTTACTGAGCCTCTCAATGCCTCGGTTTCTCATTTGCAAATGGGACCAGAGTGTAGCATGTATGTGTGCATGCATATGGATGTGTGTTTTGTTATTAGTAACTATCATTCAATGTCTGAAACAGATATAATATGTTATTAAAACTTACTGCTTGAGCATACAGCTCTATTTCATTTTCTCTGAAAATTTGTGTGATGCTTTGAGGAAATTACTTGTTTTTTTTTTTTTTTTTTGTTTTGTTTTTTTACTAGCTTCATGCCCCAGAGAAGACCTGAAACCTAGAAAAGATAAGTGGTTTTCCCATTGTGCACAGCCAAGATTAACTACAGGCTTAACTACAGGTTTTTTTGGATCCCTGCTCTCACAGTGGTATCTTACTTTCTTCTAATATTATAGGATGCAGTTATTCAACTTTATCTTCTGTGGCTGTGACTGAGCAATCTATAAAGAATAGGGTTCATTTAAATCGTGTTTCTGGAGATGGGCAAGAGATTGGCAAGGTGTGACTTCTGGTGAGTCACCGACAGCAAGTGCGCTAGCCCAGGCTTTTTTTCTCATAAAGCCACTAATGTCATCACAGGGGCCCTCCTGTTAGTCTCTCACCCTTGCCTCCTCACAAAGGACCTTGGAGTTGACTTGTGAACACAGGAACCTGCCGTAGAACCTTTGAGCCTCGGCAGTCACGTGATTAAATAAAATAAAACTAGATAATAATAATACAGGGGGAATAAAAACTGAATAAAGGAAATGTGGAATGAAAGACGTGAGCTTTCCCAAGGCAAGTTCATACCCATAACCACCAGGGGGC